TTTACAATATTAATGATGGAAAGAATCTTATACAGATATTGGGCAAATAAATGTCCCACCTCACTAGTTCCCATTTTAATAGATAGTTTCAGCAGTGTTCTTACGTGTTATAAATAATTTCAGTGATGAAGGAACACTTACTGAGGCCTTGCCTGGATGTGGGTGTTCTTTCATTGTGTATGGTTTTTGAATAATTATAGGTATAATATAAAAAAAAGGGTAGAGTAGTGACAATGGACATTGAATAGTGTATTTCACTCCCAGACATATAGGTACACATTTTTGCAGCATCTGAGAAACACTCAAGTAATGTATGCGGTCGAAGGATTACACGGGGTGTAACATAAGGACGTTAAAATATTCAAGTGACGTATTCCTGAGACAATTGTAAGAAAAAAGTCTTCATGAACTTGTGTTCGAAAATGCGTTTTTTCGGAGATACGGGGTGTTAAAATTGAATTTTTTTGTTCGCTTTTTGAAAATAACTCTTGCAAAAAATTAGTTATATGCACGAGATTCGGTAACCGGGATTTTTTTGACGTGGGAAATCATAATTTCGTATTAATATTCATGTAACATCTAGAGGGCGCTGCGTACGCTGTCATCATTTATTTCAAATTGCCTCAACTTTTTTGACAGTGAATTTTTGGTACTTTTCATGAAAAAACCTGATTCCCACAATCATGAGTAATTAACTTTGCTTAGAATATTTAATTTTGTGATTTACATTTCAGATAGTTTTCAGAAATATCGTTAAAACAAGTTGGGAATTCATGATTTTTTGAAAGAGTTCAAAACCAAATCAAAATCTAATAGTGCAGTTGAATAAGAAAACTAAATCAGACGATTATGTCCAAATTGAAGAAGAAATACCTCAAAATAGTAGTAAAAAAGTTGGCTTGGACGGTTCGTAGACTAATATTGAAACAAAGTTAAATATAATTATTCAATATAGTTGCCTTCGGAGTGGCCATAGCCTCAAAACAGGCCTTAGTTTTGACGTTAATATCTTCAACAGTGCTGAACCTTTTTCCAGTGAGCATTATTTGGAAATATGAGAACAGTACAAAGTCGCTGAGGGCCAGATCTGAATAATACGGAGGCTGCGGATGCAATTCGAAGAATTCATGGAATTTTGCCAACTGTTTCATCCATTCGTGACCCGGTGTATTGTTTCGATAAAAATGCTCTTCCTTTTTCTTCAAAAAAAGTCGTTTTTCCACAATTTCGTCCTTCTTGCGCTCCAATAACGCTATCTAATAGTCGCTGTTGATGGTTTTTCCAAATTCAAGAAGGTCGATGAATATTATACCATCCGCATTCCAAAATACTAATGCCATAACCTTGTCAGCCGAATTTTGCGTGTTTGGAGTCGATTCACCACGTGAAGTCCACTGAAGTGGCGGTCGTTTTGATTCTGATGTGGAAAGATGAAAACATGTTTCATCTATCGTCACACATCAACGCATAAATTCATGTTTTTCATCCGGGAACAGCTTCAAATACTGCTCAGAATCATCCATTCGTTGTTGTTTCTGGTTGAATGTGAGCTCACGTGGCTTTCAATAGAGCTTTAGCAAACACAAATATTCATGCACGATATATCCAAAATGTTCCTTTGGAATCTTTAGAGCCTCAGCTATGTCGACATATCAACAGTTTGCGGTCATCCAAAATTCTTTTGTGGACTTTTTTGATGTTTTCGTCAGTAACAACATTTTTGGGGCTAATTTCACCGCGTTGAAACTCTGGAAACCACTTTTTAACGGTTTATTTTGCTGGTGAAAAGTCCAAATGATGTTTATCGATATTCCATATTGTAGTTTGTGCTTTTGTTGAATGAAAAGTTCAATTTCTTTTAATTTTTTGCTTTCGGAACACTACTGGAAACGACGCTTCCCCTGCACTTCCGATATAATGCAAGTAGTTTTGTTTCGCTGGAGAATGCCTAAATAACGCAAAAATTCACCTATATTCTGTTTGAAGGCCGTCGCCTTCCTACGGAAGACAACCCTCAGAAGTCGAAACTGGTGCGAGCTAAGGACAAACGGGGTCTTACCTTTCAACCCGTGATTCCTAACAAAAGTTGGACAAAAGGAAGTGGAAATCGATCGTCTGGCATCACGGCTAGAACCACCCGTTCAGTTGATGATGATCATGAAGTTTCACTCAGAAATATACAATCTCAATCGCCACAAAAGAAATAACCAGGAAAGGTATTTCTGGGTCTGATGACTTCGACAATTACGGAACTAGCCAAATGTTACACTCATGCTCAATCCTCAAAGAGATGGGATGGAACAAAAGATGCAATCTTGCCAGAAGAAGCTGGCGCCGAAGAAATATCTTCGGCACCAGGAAAAATCTACGCCTAACAGTAGGATTTCTGACTGTCAACTGAGGAAACACCTCCATAATATGAGGCTAGTCGACACACCTCTATGCAGGATGTGTGAATAGGAAGTTATAGTCTATAAGAGAGTGTGTGTTCGGTGAGTCTTGACCTACACCTGCCAATATAAAGGAGATGTCTCCCAGTGATCTGTCCACCTTCCTGAAAAGGACAGGATGAACGATGACCTAGGAGGACAACTCCTCGGGAGGATGTACAATGGATCACATGTGACCTAGGTGCTGTGGGCTTACAGTCACTCTCCCTACTCTACAGATACATATACTCAGAAATACAACTCACATGTACAAATCTATCTGTTACTACGAGTGATGTTCCGATAACAATGGTGGAGTCGACGAACAGTTCAGTTTAGACAATGAAATACTGTATAAGTCGTGCAATTCTAATGTAGATGAAATATCCTACAAAATACATTCATATTTCTCTGAATGACATAGTCATCCTCAGTGGAGATTTGAAAGAAATAAAATACTGTACTCGCTTCGGCGGTACATATACTAGAATTGGAACGATACAGAGAAGATTAGCATGGCTCCTGCGCAAGGATGACATGCAAAATCGTGAAGCGTTTCACATTTTTAGCTCATGAACAATGGGGTGCAGAAGGTTCAACACTGCTACTGCTGTACCGATCTTCAATACGCTCTACGCTCTACGCTCTTCGTTCAGCAGAAGCATATGCTTCTGCTGAACGAAGAACATTATCTCAACTGGATTCAATACATCATTCTGCTCTGCGCATGATCGCAGGAGCGTATAGGACCACGGAAAGCCTCAACTGTGAAATAGGAGAACCTTCCCTGAGTGTTCGCAGAACCCAGTTGAGTTTGTCATATGCTGCCGCAGTTGCATCTATGAAAAACATACCCACTCACAGTCGGCCAAGAACTGATCTTCCTTTTCACGAGAGGATCCGACGACAAGTAAGTTCTTTACAAATGGAGTCATTTCCAACCCCGAACGCCACAAATATCAAATCTGCACCACCATGGCTCATACAGACTCCTATCATGAACACTCTCCTATCCCAGTTTCCCAAACCCGATACAAATAAGAACATCATCAAACAAACTTTTCGACAAATCCTGGACCAATTCGACCACCCTGAAGAAATATACGCAGACCTATCCAAAACTTATCTTGGTGTAGGAGCTGCAGTAGTGACTGACTATGCTGCAATGACCTTTAAACTTCCAGAAACAGCAACAATAGTAACTGGAGAATTATTCGCCATCCTTCACGCTCGCCAGTACGCTAAGTCAAGTGCATCGGACACTGTCTCAATCATTTCAGATCAAACACCCAATTGGAAAACTTATCAAACAACAATTTTTCGAACTCCAATCGCTTGAGGAGAAAAACATTCTACTTTGGGTTCCTTCGCATGTGGGGGTTGCAGGAAACGAAAGTGCTGACTTTTATGCTCGTGAAGCGATTGATAATCCAAATAAGAAACAACAATGTATAGCCCTCATACCGACTTGAAACAATACTTCAAAAGCGTATTGTTGAGTGAGTGGAACATTGAATGGCAGTGTACCCCATCCAAACTAAGAGAATGGAAACCCAAAGTCGGACCATGGAATTATTGAACACTGATAAGACGGGAATAAGTTATAATCACCCGTCTTCGATTAGGACACACCAAACTAACCTAAGAATACTTGATATCTCTAGCAGATCAACCACAGTGCCACATTTGTGAAGTTGCACTAACAATACATCACATCATAGTGCAGTGTCCAGTGTTTCAATTAGAAAGGGAAATGTGCAAAATATCGACGAAATCGCAGGAAACCTTGAGTTATTTTAGTGCTCTCAAGATTTTAAATTATTTAAGTGCTCTGAACTTATTTAACAAAATATAATGTTGTAATCAATAAAGTTACTGCTTTAAAATATATTTTCCGTCACTAATAACCATGAGGTTGATGCGGTTATTTTCAAATAAAAAAAAAACAAAATACTAGTCAGAAAGGTTGAATACGAAATATCGTGAGAAATTATTCTTGCAGAATACAGTATCAGCATTAACGTTGATAACATATGACATTTTTTCATTGATAGACTTACAAGAAACTAGACTTCGGCGTTGGTTGGTGCCAAAAATGACATGAACGATTGTCACTAAGTAACAGTCAGTACCTGACATTATTGACATTTCTTTAAAAATCATTCCAACCACAGAATTTGGAAAGAAATTGTTTGTTTCATAATATCGTGACCGTATATCAAATTTTATCAATTTTTTTGCAATTTCTCATGAATAACTCGATCATTTTGGAAAAATTTAATATATTCGAAAGTGAAAACTATCGAGGAGAAACACATACGTATAAGAAAATAGACATTTCGAAATGAAATTTCGGAATATCCATCTCTTTCAACTGCCTCTACAGTAGACTATTAGCCAGGAAACAACTACTTTCCGGACTAATGGATGAGGAAGTATTGAAAGTCTCCCTGCCATCATTCATTCATTCAAAACGCAGACGGCATAGCGAAATAACGAAATTCGACAATTCTCGTTCTTGGTGGATATTTCAAAAACAACCATTGATATTCTTGATCTGAAAAAATATCATCCTGCTTTTCTGAAATAGGAAACTTTTGTCCGGTTCAAACAATTTGTAGATCTCGCCGTTTTCTAGATAGCAATAGTGATATTAGCTCAATAAACGGCCTGTTTATGTTCCTGTATCAATCAAGTGGGGAATTAACTGTTTTGTTATAGACTGAAATACTTCAAAGATGGGGATGTACTGTGGAAGAGTACGAGTTGGTAACACAGGACAATTACTATATTTTGGTTGTCAGGGCTTTCTTGAAGTCTGTGCGAAAAAAGACGCCTATAATAATGGGTCATGGAATTTATATGAATAGTCTGGGGTTTGTGGTGATGTCAAACAAATCGATTGGTGAGTATCTCAGTCACTCACAGTGTCATTTCATTCTTCAATTCAAGTATTGTTTTCTATCTTGGATTTCAACTTAATGCATGTACTTCACAAAATGTCTTCCACTTCAAAAAGTGTTGATAAGATAAGATAAGATAATATTTATTGACCAAAACGCGATACACTTGGTATATGTGGTAAGTCAGGGTATATATTTAAAATATGACATTATGAGGACCCCAAGTCAAATAATCAAATGAGTAGTACATTCAGTGAACTTACATCGCAGTGATAAGGCACATACAAAATTACATTTTTTTCTCAATAAAGATAGCACGGCAACTGTCCCTGTAGTTCATATTGAATATAAGTCTTATAATTCGTTTTTGGGCAACAAAAACTCTCATAAAATCATTTGCCCTCCCCCAGATCATAATATTAAAATTGATATGGGAGTATACCATAGCATAATAAATGCTGAGTAACGCTGATTCCCTTGATGTTGATTTCAGTTGCTTTATTGCATAGTATGCTTTATTTATTTTAGAACATGTATTGTCTACTTGTTTTTCCCAGTTTAGATTAGAATCTAAATAGGTACCAAGAAATTTCGTCACCTGTACGTTTTCAGTATCATATGTAACAGGAGCATTTAGAGTATCAGTCCTAAAGTGAAACTTCATCGATACTGATTTGGAGGTATTAAGGATAAGTTCGTTTCTTTGGCACCAAGCACTGAACTGGTCAACAATACTTTCAGATTTACAAATAAGTTGCTCAACGTTTTGTCCCGCATAAACATCTTCCTCATGAAGACGTTAGGTATGTGACTGGTATAAGACCCAAACCACGAATATCAATGCTCTTCTTGAACGCGAACGATCTTCGAGATTCTCATTCTTCATTTGTCTGCAGCTTCCACCGCTAGGCAACTATAACGAAGTATTCGTGATTCTGAACAAAAAAGCATTGTTTCGATTCACCGTTGGTCTCATCAATGGTACTGACAAACAAATGTATTGCTGAACCCCAAGTTTTCGAAAATAAGTAGCATAGAAGTCCCCCTCATCCAGATGCCATCTGTGAGGGACTCGTTTATCAGTCTTATTCGAGGTTCTTCGGCAGCCATGAGGGGTCATCTTCTGAAATGCATCACAAGAATGAAGTGGTTGGCTTTGTTGGGAAGTTAGATTCATTTGGGAGAGATTCAAGAGTTGTGAGTCACAAAAACATTGCTGATTGCACCTCACTTTGAACCTATGTACTTTCTGCCGATTTCACAAACTCTGAAAAGTTCCAAAATGTGAACACAAATATGAATATTTACAACGTCACTTGTCATTCTAGAAAAATTATTCAACTGATTTGAACAATTCCCAATTTCAGCTTACCAACTACTTGTGAGAGGGCATCCAGTATTTCTTGTCAACTTTCGAGGTAGTAAATATAGTACCAGTCACAAAACTCTAGCCAAAAATGATAGCGCTTATTGGAAGTTCAGGTAACTGTATTCATGTTCATTATTTTTATTTCTTCAATAGTATTATCTTCAATTCAGAAAAAAATATTTGGATTTCTGTTCGTCACAACAATAGAAGCAACGGATTACATGAACATAAAAAAATATCGTTTATGTAGTCAACTGATAGAAACCTAACAAAACACAGGTTACCTTCCATATAGATAGGAATGGGTATCCAAGTTGGTAGGCTATAGTCCGATGGACACTGAACTACTCAACGTTTCGTCTAATTTTGCGGCAAATCTCATCAGTAGTATGTGCAAGGACGGAGTTTATATTCCGTAGTCTCAGCCCGAATCTTGTTTTTTTAACGGTGACTCCAGCCGAGAAAGTCTATGTCCTTGAATTCATTGATTAATATTGAAGCATCGTCATTTTTCACTAACCTGATTCTGACATACGCTGATAACTGATCGGTTTTCAAAATTGTTTCAGAATTTGAAATGCTTTCTTTTTTGTAATCAATGTAAAGTTCAATTAGTCCTTCAGAATTGAGCTTCTTAAACAAAATCAAAACTTTTTTCCTTTCAGTTTTTTTGTGTTCCGCCGAACAAAAATTATTCATGGAATATAATTTGTTCCAAAGGGATGTATAGAAAAACCTTGAATGACATGAGTCCGTTTTGACTGCTGGTTATACCAAAATTATACCAGATTGCGAAAGTGGAAAATTCTCAGAATGAAATCGAACTAGAAGAGTGAAAAATGAACAATGATCAAGCAGTATACACGATAACAATTATGTTTGGAAAAACTAAAAAACACGCTTTTGAAGAATCACGAACTAAAAAGTAATTTTTTTAAAATAAGTTTAAAACAATAACGATCAAAAAATACTAGTATTATTGTAAAGAAGCGTAGGCGGAGGATATACAAAAAATGTGGCACAAAGCGCCCACGCTTTTTTCACAATAATAAATTAACTTTTCAGTTCGATGTTCTTTAAAAGCGTATTTTTCAGTTTTTTTAAACTTTTTTTATTTTCAACTTTTCAGTTTGATGTTCTTAAAAAGCGAGTTTTTCAGTTTTCTCAAACTATATTCAATTATTTTGATTTTTTTTCAACAATTTATCAAGAAGGTCATGTACAGCGCCATCTGCCCGCGAATAGATCAAGAAATAATGCCGATAATTCTTCCAATACAGATCACGAGCTTGAAAATCACAAACAAACATACATACAAACATACATACATACATACATGTGAAGCTGATATAAAGCGTGTTAAAAATAAGCAGGGAACTTGATAGAGATTTTTCGAAAATAGAATATTTTCAAAACCCGAAAAATATTTTTTCTTCGATTGGCATCGAACGTCAATTTCAGTGACATTTATCGATCATCAAAGTGACATTTTCATTGCCTAGCCTTCGGAAATGTCAAATGAATTGGTGGATACGATCTAACCAAAAATGAAAAAGATTATTGGAAAATACGATTCAAGGATTTGATATACAAAAAATCGACATACAATTAGAATGAATATTATAGGGAAATCGTGATGCATATTTTTTCTTCGATTGGCATCGAACGTCAATTTCAGTGACATTTATCGATCATCAAAGTGACATTTTCATTGCCTAGCCTTCGGAAATGTCAAATGAATTGGTGGATACGATCTAACCAAAAATGAAAAAGATTATTGGAAAATACGATTCAAGGATTTGATATACAAAAAATCGACATACAATTAGAATGAATATTATAGGGAAATCGTGATGCATATTTTTTCTTCGATTGGCATCGAACGTCAATTTCAGTGACATTCATCGATCATCAAAGTGACATTTTCATTGCCTAGCCTTCGGAAATGTCAAATGAATTGGTGGATACGATCTAACCAAAAATGAAAAAGATTATTGGAAAATACGATTCAAGGATTTGATATACAAAAAATCAACATACAATTAGAATGAATATTATAGGGAAATCGTGATGCACTGTTTGGAACCTTTGGTGTAGTAATTAATATTACTGGAGTTCTATCCCAACACCAAACCGATATTTTCAACACCTCGAGACGTGTTTCGATCACCACGTGAGCATCTTCATGATCACGGTCCTGAAATCAAACTAAGTAAGCTTTGAAGTTTTTCGTCACCCACCATACTCCCCAGACCTCTTGCCAACCGATTATCATCTTTTCGAGCACCTCGATAACTTTTTCCCCTTCACCAATCAGGACCAGGCAATAACGGTTTAGGTCGACTTCAACGAATACCGATCACGCAATTTTTATGCTGATGGAACCAATTGTTGCATTGGCAAAAGTACACTGATTCAAAAAGTGTCTATTTCGAATGAATTGAAAGAATATTTACTGATTAATAATTACAGTTTGAAGTAGACTCACAAAAATGGACAAAACTTATGATACAACCTGATGAACATTGTAGGGCAGCTGAATAAAAAAGATTTCAGAACAAAACCCGGATTTTCTCCATTCAATACAATATTTTTCAAATATCATTGTTTTCAGAAGAAGAAAACTCATTGATTGATAAATAACTGTTTATTGAAAACTTTTCAAACTTTTCAGTTTCCATCAGATGGCACAGTACGATTTACCTGTTGTAATGAACTTGGTTGCTCAAAAAACCGGTGGAGCGAAAGCAGTATATATCGGATTTTCCATGGGAACCACAGTGATCAATATCTATTGCATACTGTACCCCCAAGAGGCAACGAAGAGATTAGTGGGGGTCATAGAAATGGCACCAGTGGCCAATTTAACTAAAATAAGATCTATCGTGGGAATTTTATCTCCATCATGGCCCATTCTGAAGGTAGGTATAATATTTCAACCTTCACCTGTTCTCGGTCCCAGATATCTAGGTCAAACCTATTCTCATAATTCGTTGGTTAAAATCTGAATGTTTTTCATGCCTTACGATTCGTCTACTACTGCGGTAGACATCATCAGGAGGTACTAAGACAAAATTCGCCATATTCCTTCGAGGCTCCAAGCTCCTTGAAAAATCCGAGACCCCTTCACCACTAGTGAACAAACGTGAAGCTGGGTATCTGTATCTGTAGAGTAGGGAGGGTGAGTGTTGGCAACCTTGAGGTGTCTCACGGCGACCTCCGTGAAGGTTTTGGAAGGTGCAGCGACATTATTGTCATTGCGCGACTTTTTCAACCTTCTTGGGGTTCCCTTCGTGGAGGTGCTCTGGTGAGGGCGCTTTTCTTCAGGGGCAGCCGGTTCCTTGCCTTTATTCAAGGCGGAGATCTTGGCCCCCGTCGCAGAAAGTGCCCTTGCTGTTAGAGGTGGAGGGGGAAGGAGGAGGGTGCACTTATAGTTGCTGCCACTCCTGCCTTTACCACTCTCTCTCTCCTTTTGGCCTCACCGCCGCAAATGCGCCTACACCTTTGCCTTTGTATTACATCAAGAGATGATCTGCCATGTCCAGCCTCATTCCGAGCGGTAAATTGGGGTGGACATTCCTGTTTATCCCCAGCCACCGCCATAGATTGAGATGAGCCCTTCTTTTCAGCGTCGGGATTGGTTTTTGTTTTTGTTGTGTCGGTTTTCGTGTTTGTTTCATTCATGTGTGTTTCTTCGAGTAGCAGGGGAAGAGTTGGCTACCTCTGGCAGAGCCCCGTATTATCGCAGGAAGGCTGATTACAATGAGGTTTCGCCCGGTTTCCCAAGGGGACCCTTCGGCCATTCAGCTGTCGGCACGATTCCTTGAACCTTAGCTTGGGTAGGCTGGTCCACGGTGGCATGTTTTGCAAAGGCTTTTGGGGAGTTTCAGTTCCCCTCGCCCTACTTATTTCTGCCACTGACCAGGAGTCCGGCGACCCCGTCCGTAAGGCCACATTGGCTTCCCGGACAGGGCCTCCAGTCCCCTGGCCGTTCCCATATCCGCCACCTGGAGACGCGCCCAATAGGTAGCCCAACCCACGGGGTGAAGCTGGGAAGCTTGGAAGCTCATCATGATGTCTCTATGAATTGAGTAGTCTACTGTTGATACTGGAGCTGATTTTGAGCGGACAATATGAATCTGAAAAGAGAATGTCAAAGACAGCGTTGAAGCCTATCAATGGAAATGTTTTTACACCCTATGTTGATGTTACGGATCGGATGGAGAGACTTCTAGAAACACATAAAATGAAATTCGAATTTGGGACAATAAAAATCATTAAAAGAGGTGTAATAGAAGTCAAGAGACTCTGAGAGCCTCTACCAACATCGAATGTTCAAAATATCTTGTAGCTGTAGTCGGTATGTTAAATTTAAGTACCCAGCTCTTTGAACATAAAAACTTGCTCGGGTGCCTTGGGCATACCGATAAGTCAGCAGTTGCGGAACGCGCACCCAGAAAAGGTACCCACCATATTTCATTCGAAGTACACTCAGTTGCTCACGTATCGGATCATTCATTTCAACCAATAGAAACGAAGCCATGCCAAAAACAACTAGAGCACTTCGTCTATTGCCAAATCACTTTTGGTGATGCCTACCACAGGAATAGACGAACGTTGAGCGTGAAAACCCGCTACAACACTTTTTTTGATGGAGGTATTCCTCCTATCACGATCCCTCATCATCTTCTTTCCTGAGTTGACATGGTTTGATTCTGTCTCTAAAAATGGATAATGGTTACTCAAATGATGAGTTCAGATTGAATATAAATCATTTGGAATAATCAATGACCAAGTAGCTGACCCAGGGACATTTGAGATTAGTGACACAAACTTGCCACGGTACGTCTATTCTTGTGTTTTCGATAAATATTTACGGATGAAAGGTGTACTTATTTAATCCAAAAAGAGCACTGCTCCCAAACACCAGGACAGCAACACTATTTTCGCTCGCGTTCTACCGATCGAGTGAGATCTTCGGTAGCTGAAGCAGACCAATGGCTAACTCTAAGCTATTGCTATTTCCATTGATTTTGTGAATTCATGCTTCCTAGTTGAACTATCTGCTAAGATATCCATTACTTCAGGTAGATCCATGGAATTTTTTTCTCGAAATCGTACATTTATTTATACAAGAAGAACTCAACAAACCTGTGGACGGAACACTTCAGTCCTACTATTTTGTGAGCTTTATCTTCGCAATTACCCAGCCTTCGGACGCCACTGGCAAGCTTGAAAACAATGTTTGACATAAAATGCCTATTGATACTTCGAATATACACACTTAGTTCCACGAACATATACCTAGACACTGAGCTATCCCAAATGGGTCCTAAAATTTCGGCATCCTCCACTTCAAAAGCTGAGACATGTTTCTGGTGAAGCTTTTTCTCATATAGATCCGAACATAATCGTTACTACTATACGTAATAGATTATGAGGTTGATGTGTTTGTTGATAGATGAACTTATTTCATGACAACATATTCTATAACAAAGAAATGTTGCCCAAACCTAAAAAAAGTAACAGTAACAGAAGAACTTTTTCGTTTTCAGCCTATAGCGAACTCCATTTGGCACGGAATATTACTACCTAGGAATGATTATCTCAAAGAATTTTGTTCCACGCATGTTATTGTAATTTTTCTCTGTTATACGATAACGGCTTTTGTTTTTGGTGCCAACTACGCTATGCTGGATCCGGTGAGTCAATTATTGTTTACCAGAGAAAGTTTTAAACCTTTGTGCAATTTTTAATCAGTCAGTGGGCTATGCTTGAAGAAAGTCAGTGAACAAATCTGAAGAAATGAACTCAGATATCCCTACACAGTAGTTCGAATGTACTGTCGCCTATCAGAAAACAACTACTCCACTGGCTAATATCACGAACGGCGTTGGATTATATTCGGCAGGCGTCAGTGCAGGAATCTTCACAGAAAATTTCCTGCATATGCAATTGGCAATAAAACTGAAAAAGTCGACCTTAAATTTTGGAACGGGCACACTTGCAGACCGGTTTCGGGCTCCTTAGTCACTCGTTAGTGCAAGATAGTGGCCATCATCGACCTAATGTCGATGATATTCCATAATTTGAAATTGAAATTTTTTTCAGAGTATTTCATTCCTCGTCTTAAGTTGGAGCGAACAACAAAAATGTCACTCCATCTAGTGGACGGGGTACTAACTAACTGCATATACGAAATTTGCTCGATTCCTCTGAATAAGGAAGAAAAACTTTCTTATTAGTCAGTGGGCTACGCTTAAAGACAGGCAAAAATAAATGAATTTTGAATGTTCAAGCCAGTCTCGGATATACCTACACAGTAGGTATATCCGAGACTGACCTACACAGTAGGTATATCCGAGACTGAAAACAACTACTCCACTGGCTAATACAACGAACGGTGTTGGATTATATCCCTAAGGCGTCAGTGCAAGAATCTTCCCAGAAAATTTCCTGCATATGCAATTGGCATGAATTCCAATGAACTGTGATATATATTTTATCAACTAAATTTTTTAAATATTTTGCTCAATACACTTATTGATGTTTTCAAATTCATGTAATCATTTATTTTTGTATCGGTTGTGTCCGTTTTCACAAAGCTTTATCAGTTCATTCAGAAGTTCCTTCGTTATTTTATATGAAATGTCATTGATAAAGTTTTTGTACATGACAGAATGAATCCGTTTCCATATCGCTGATCATCTTTTCCAAAAGTTGAACGTTAATAAACCAGTTCATCGATATTTAACACAAATGGTGTTTATACAGGTATCAGTGTTGATGACAGTAACATCGGTTGTTAGAAAAGCTTCCATAAAATAACGTGTGAACATGGTCTGAAACATCTGCACATTTATTATATAATAAAGTAATATACTACATCATTGACTCAAGTTATTGTAAAATACATATCATAATACTACCATGCAGGTAAGAGATTGTTTTTGAATTTGCTGAGAGATATACCAGTTACTTCCAGTTTTCTTTCATTAATAAGTCGAAGTGTACGATCAACAGGGTTATGTAAGCCATAATTTGTAGAATGAAACCGTAAGTGAAACAGATCGCTGGATCTTAGAATTCTGTTTGGGACATTGAAATTAATATTTTCTAGAATTTCAGGAGCAACAATTAGGCCATTCAGTAACTTGTATATGAAAATTAAATCAAAGTTTTCTCTCCTTTTTCTCAACAGATTGAGATTAAGGATTTCTAAAATGTTGCTATAATCATGGTCAATTACAGGTATACTCATTCTATGAGCACAAAATCTTGGGAATTTGTTTTGAACTCTTTCAAGAGTAAGATTGTGATTGTCATAAAATGGAGACCATATCATTTAGCCATAATCTAATATTGATATTACCAGAAACAAGTAAACTATCCTTTAGACTTGAACGGACAGATGTTTACCATGTCGTAGAATAAATCCAAGACATTTTGCAGCCTTCACCACAATATAGTTTAAGTGGTCTGAAAATTGAAGTTGTTCATCAAAAAAACATTCAGATCCTTCACAGACGAAACATAAGATAATCCATGGCCATTAATCACATAAGAAGTATCAAATCTCTCATTTCTTCTGTAAAAACTTATAAAACAGCATTTTGCGATATTCAACTTTAAATTATTCTCGGAGCACCATGCAACCAATCTATCTAAGTCATCTTGCATCAGTGTTGAATCATATAGTGACCTTATTGGCATGAAAACTTTGAGATCATCTGCGAACATCAAAAAATCAGTATGATGGAAACATTCAACAATATCGTTAATGAAGATATTGAATAACATAGGAGCGCAGTGAGAACCCTGAGGTACCCCTGATGGCACCTGAATTATAACCGATGTAACGCCTCCAACTTCAACTTGTTGGGTTCGATTACATAAGAAACTTCTGAGCCATGTTACAGCTGATTGAGAAAGTCCAAATATCTTTAATTTTTTCCATAATATATTGTGGTCTACTCGATCAGAAGCTTTTGAAAAATCCGTGCAGTGATATTGTGATTATTTTGTTTTCAAATTGATCCGTTAGTGATGAAATGAATTCATTTCTGTAGCTCAGAATGCCTGTAGTTATGCAACAATGTCCAGATGTCATATCAACCATGGTGGTGGATCACTACTATCAAATTATCAGACACAAGCAGTTCCTTCAGTACGATTATGGATATGAACAGAATATTGAAAAATATGGTAGCCCTTTTCCACATCCCTACAATTTTTCTGAGATAAAGGTTCCAATTACCCTTTTTGTTGGACTCAACGATTTTGTAGCTGAAGCTAAGGTATGATTTATTCTTCATATAGGTACTGCTTATTATGCGAATCAAGCAAAAAACCTAAAATGAAATAAAAAATAAGTGAAAAATTGAAAATTGAACAATTAATATTGAATAAAAATCGAAAGATTTCAAGCCAAATTATTTCATGACGATTCAATTCTATTCACGATCGTCTCGTCCATTTTTTTATATTAGGCTTATATTTCATTTCAGTGTGATTTCACTTCAGAGTTTTTCTGCTTGATATAATTGTTATTCATCACTATATGTGCAGTAATTCATCTTTTCAACTCGTCTAATGGCAGTATTCCGAATTACTATCATTTTAAAATGGCGTCGTTCTATAAAATAATTTGGTGTCAATAGCAAGAGTTTTAATGTGTTTTAGCTTCTATATTTCCACTATAAAACTGTTAAGAAATACTTAGTTCTAGGATTGATGGTGTTGCGGCAGAGTCGGACTTCTTTTAAAGTTATAGATTTCTATGAAAATGAAGACAAGATTTCTCACGTATGGTTTGGATAAATATTATCTGTCGGGATGTTTTGGCTAAAAAGCTTCTTCCATCCATTATAAAGGCTGAATTTCGAAGAAGGGTTGAGTTAGTGATTTGAGTGTATATAAACATGTTGCTCCACTTAAATCGACGGATGTTAATCATCAACAACCTTTTCCTGTTTTTAGCAAGAACAGAATTGAAGCACTAGGTAACCTGAGTCTCAGTCTGAAACGAACCTCTTTTCTTAATTTTCATTGAAGTGACAATATGGTAATGAAAACAAAATTGTGTTTGAAAACACTCCAATAAAATAATTTCATTGAAGCTACAGGAAGCAGTTATGAAATTATCTTGAAATAGTTTTACAAAAAGCATAAAAGCCTCACAGAAAAGAGCTATAAAACTGCTACAAATCAATTTACTTTTACAGGAAAATATGTTTCATAAGTTAATTGTAAACACGTTTCTGTGATAATTTCGTGACTATTTCATAACGGATTTTCAATTTTATTTCATAAACGTTTCTATGACAAATAATGTATAAAACAATTTCATTGCTTACAACTGTATTATGTTCTCGGCTCGTCTAATATAATCAATTAGCATTTTTGGAAGTAATTTCAAAATACCAACAATATAAAACTGTTGCAGCACCATGAAATTATAAAACAATTTTGCTGGTTGGGATATGCCTCCCCACTCACAAGCGAATTAGGTGAAATTGGGGACAAATGTGAATCGTTGTATTCACGGCATGTGCCACTATATGGGTATCTGCAATATGCTGTGTAAAGACCGTTGTAAGTAGTCTCACTGCGATTCGAAAGTGCATATAGATTATAACGACAAGGGGCCACATTGTCTGCTGCATAATTGCTCATATCTGATCCTTCTGAAGAAAAGTCGATGACAATATTCAATTTGTCTCTGTATATTTCCGTTGGAGAGAATCTTTTGAAAATAATTACTAAAATACGGTGGAATTCATGGATTGATAGGGATTTTGTGCATTTTCTTCTTTCTTTGCACCTCGAACAAGTTCGTTATTCATCTCCATCCTAACTAATGGAGAAGATGGACGTGATATAAACGAAAAAATGAAACAAAATTGTGGATGAAATATTTTACTGAATCGGCAAAATATAGTAGAGAACATGTACAAAAAATACAAAAAGGCTTTCAACACGACTCAAACAAATGCTATCGATAATTGATAATGCACTGAAACAATTGTAGAAATAAAGCCTTTTATCAACAAAAATCGAAGACAACGCTTCTAGCAAAATATAAAGATGTTGTGAAGATGTGCAGAACAAGACAATTATTTTTTTTTTTGGAACTGAAGTTTTTGACTTTCTACTACTTCATCTTGATACAAAAAAATGTGGGAATGTTCCAAAGGAAGTCAGAAAGCAATATTCAGTCAGAAGGAATCTTGTTTGAATTGATAGGGTTTTATTATTAGGAGTGACAAATTTAATTGAATAAGTGAATGAATGTCATTACGATGTCATCGATGACATAAGTGGATCAAACTTATTCCGTGACAGAAAAATCGTAATTTATTGATGAATTGTGTGGTTTATCTTATAATATTATCCAATTTGGTACTGAAGAGCCTTAGGGCAAGTGTCTTACGGCGAAACATCGATGTCTACCAGTGAAAATGACAGCGTCTAACAGTGAACTCACCTCTAATTTAGTATATTGTGTAGAAATCTGATTCAATTTCATATGCTGGTAGGGATGTGTGTAGGAATTATGTTTGACAATGTCTGTATAAGATGGTTTGTGGAAAATTGCAAAATATTGCAATGAGGTGTTTCTTAAACGAGTTATCATTTGATGATTTATTAAAAATTCATCTTTTTCCAGAATTCCCGTATACTTTATAATAACTTGCCAAGTACTTCACGTTGTGGATTCAAAGTGATACCAGATTCCCATTGGACACATGATGCTTTCGTCTTTTCGAAAGACATGCACCTTTATCTCAACAATGAAATTCTCAATACGATTCCAATAATGGAGAACAATTTGTGCAGCCAGTACCGCCATGACTAGGAGACGCAGAAATATTCCTCTGAACTTTTGTGAAACGTATTCATCTCAAAATAAATTTTTGGTTATAGTAGTAATGAGTAATTTTTTTGCTGGTATCTTTTTGGCAACACTGATTTTTGACAGATCACGCGTGAATCGTGTCTTGTGTCATTGTCAGAATTGTTCACTTTGGTCTATAATTTAACCATGAATCGACCTACGAATGAACAACGCTTGCAAATTATTGAATTTCATTTTCAAAATTCATGCTCCGTCAAGAAAGTGCATCGTGCACGTCTTTCAATTCATGTGCAGTTTCGTCGGCCTACTGAGGGAGCTATTCAGAAGCTGGTGACTAAATTTCGAACCAAGTTTACTTTATTGGAAATTAAATCACTAACACGCATACGTAGAGTAAGGACCAAAGAAAATATTGCGGCTGTATCCGCCAGCGCTCGTGATAACCGTGAAATGCCGATTCGCTGCCGTGCGCAGCAATTGGGCCTTTGTTACTCCACTACGTGGAAACTTTTGCGAAAGAATTTGGGTGTAAAACCTAATAAGATACAGCTGGTGCAAGAATTGAAGCCACACTACCTCCCACATTTGCGAATGGGCGCTGGCAAAGTTGGAGGAAGATCCACATTTTTATCGAAAAATTGTGTTCAGTGACGAGTCTCATTTCTGGTTGAATGAATACGTTAACAAGCAAAATTGCCGCATATGGAGTGAAGACCAGCCACAAGCAGTGCAAGAGCTACCGGTGCATCCCGAAAAAGTCACAAGATTATAGGTCGGTTGCCTCATCGGGCCGCACTTCTTCAAAGACGACAATGGCCGGAACGTTACTGTGAATGGCGAGCACTACCGTGTGATGACTGACGACTTTTTGTTGCCCAAAATGAAAGAATTGGACATGCCTGACATGTGGTTTCAACAAGATTGTGCCACACGCCACACGGCACGCGAAACAATGGCCCAATTGAGAGCCGTCTTCGGTGAACAGTTTATCTCACGTTTGGGGCCCGTCAATTGGCCGCCTAAATCGTGTGATTTAACGCCTTTGGATTATTTCTTGTGTGGTCATGTAGAGGCTCATGTCTACAGGGATGAACCAGCAACGACTGATGCTCTGAAAGACAATATTGAAACATTTTTACGTGAAATACCGGTCGATATGTTAGAGAGAGTGTGCCAAAATTGGACCTTGCGCATGGGCCATCTAAAGCAGAGCCGCGAGAACATTTGCATGAAATCATCTTCAATCATTAAATTATATTGATCGTTCTATCGATTCCAATGAATATTTCATAAATTTTTTCAAATTTTTTGTGTTGTTTTGAAAATCAAATGCTATACCTCTTGAAAAATCACCCGTTACATAATTTAGTTCTCATACAATTGGTAAGTATGCAACGGAAATATCTGCAGAGTAAAAATAGTGATCCAAGTACAGTCATCTTGTAATGTTTACAATAGTATAACGGTTATTTTCCTAATCAAAACAGGGTAATGTGTGAATTTTTCCACTCATTCATCTATAACAAATTAGATTCTCAACGATATACATGCATGATTATGTTTAACCAGTTTCATTACCACAATTTACGCATATCAATGGAAAATTTATCAAATTCTAATAAAATCTTTTGAGAATTTCACTTCACTATCACATAGACTGGAACTGATTCGTGAAGATCACCATACCAATATTGATTTTTCTGAACTGCATGTCCTAATGGGTTAGTGTATCTCAGCGGCGGCTCGTCAGAGGGTGCAATGAAGGCTTAGCCTCCCCATATAATTTGAGGCTATTCATCGCAATGAAACAAAAGATTGAGGAATTATTATGATTATTTTTTTCTAAAAATGCTTGGGCATCATTACTTCACCATTAATTTTTAATATAAATATATAATATGCCCGAAAAAACACTATCACTCACTACGTACTACGTACCACACTGTATCCTGCATCATAAAACCTCAAACGAACCGCCCATGAACGAATAACGAATAAACCATCAACCCGAATAATAAATGCCATACGTTGCAAGGGAGCCAAGCCTCCGACCGCTATAATAAACACAAGCTTCGCGAGACCGATTCAATCAGCGACATACGTCCCGATTTGTAATTTCAGTTGCAGAAATTATAGCAATAGAGGAGACTAGCCTCCAGTTGGCCTCCGTTAGTGTACGACTGCGTTTGTTTTTCATTCAATTATTCGGACGGGATGCCGTGACAGACCGACCGGCACTGAAAAATATTTCGGTAAATCGTTTTAGTGTTTCTTGATAATATTTGTTATTTGTGTATGAAACAGGCAGTATTATATTATGGCAGTGCTTTTTGGTATTATTTTTAATGTGTTTTTGAAGTGTTTTCTTTCAATTCCAAGGTGCTTTCACTTTTCGGTAACCTTTTTGTCCATTTATTATGGATAAGTTGGACGAAATTGAAAAATCTAACAATATAGTCGATTGGTTGGTTGCTGACAAATAATTTTAAGTCTTCATCTTATGATAATAAATTTCACATCATTAAAACTCTGGGAACGCCTCAACCAAATTTGATTTCAATTAAAGCGTCAGATAATTATATTTAGTCTTTATAACTTTAGCCTCCTCTGTTCTCCAATGCACGAGCCATCACTGGTGTATCTTGGTTCATGTGGAATGACAGTGCACTTTGAACCAATTTTATTTGAAAAAAGTTGGGTATTCATGAAAAAACTCATCCAATTTGGATTATCTAATTGGATAGTTAACTGCTTCTGAAAAGCTATTGGATTCCTATAACTTTTTATTCGAACGTAACATAACACTGTAATCGAAATTTATTCGAAACGCGTTAATAGAGTTTTTTTTCTAATAATGCTGGTGGACAGACGTGCCGATAACGACCGTCCACAAAGAAGGTACGCGGACGCCATTGTTGGAGATGGAACTCAGTTTTGTGTTCTGAATGTCCGTCGCCATCAAACGTGCCACCATTTAAATAATAATTTTTGTGAAAAGTCTTATTAGTGTTTGAAGAGAAATGGCACTCTCATTCACGCCGGTTAGAGGCCGGGGTGGACCGGATGTCCACGTGTGAATAGGATTGTATAAATTTTACGAAAAATATGTGTAAAACATCGGAAAGTCTCCCGGGCAGAAGTGTTTTTTATAATAAAAAAAAGTTTGATGAAAAATGGGAAGCAGCATTGCTTCGAGCAAGACCGCTGCGCCCCAATGACGAATTTCCTGTCAATTTTGATAGGAGGAGAATGGACAAATGCACCCGAGTGGGACACAAAGTCCAATAAACTTAGAGAGAGAGAACGTGTTGATAAAACGGGGATGAAGAAGAATACAGAAGTGTGTAGCAGAAGAGCTTTTGTTGAAATAATTCTGTGTTATATTTCTCTGCTCGAAGGAATTGAGTTTGCTAGAAATAACAAAAACCTGACAATTCATCAGATACTACAGAAACTTTCAAGCAGATTGAGTATTTGAACACTTCGGCCTCGAGAGGAAATTAATTAAAAATTACACTTGTGCTAAGTCAGTGTTTCGATGTAATTAGAAAAGTTTTTTCGCCCCGTGGGAAATCCATTTCACAGTTTTAATTGATTACCACAGTTCACTTTCCATTTTCATTCACTTCTTGGGGTGGAGGTTCGTTTACAGCTCAAAAAGAGATAAGTTTCTTCATCCTGTTCTGAATTAGGACTTCAACTTACATCCTGACTTAAACCCAGACGAAATTCATGCATTAACTTCTTCATAAAAATGTTCTGTTTTTCAATTGCTATATCTTACATCTGAAAAAGAAATCGAAATGAATATCGTTGATAAAAAACATTCGCTACCAAATGTAGAGACCTACGTTATCTTAGCGAATCTGATATTTTGGCTATGAACAAAGTGATTTGAGTAAATAATGTATCCATACTTGCTACTTTGATGAATTTACGGGTATTAGGGGTTCTATTACTGAATTCACACATTAAGAAATATGTATCCCAATGAGAATTGCGATATTGTTAATAGAATGTGACAATATTGCTCGTTGTGAATGGAAGAATGAGAGAAATTTGATTTGATTTAGATATCTCCTGGTACAACTTTCAAGAAAGCAAATATATGCCTTCTTATATAGAAACTAGCTGACCCGGCAAACGTTGTTTTGCCATATGAATAATTTTTATCAGAACACTCACAAATGATAATCCCTTGATGATATGGTGTGTACAATATTTTCTGTCAGTCCTTATTTGAGCATATTGGATGGTTCTCCCACTAGAGAGCATGCCACGTATTATTGTCCGTGTGAAAAACATAGTGTGCTCAAATCCAAGGCACAAACGGACATTTTTGGCCATGGGACTTCTCTCTTTCTGTATCTGTAGAGTAGGGATGGTGAGTGTAGAACCACAGAACTTAGGCCACATGTGACCCATTGTACATCCTCCCGAGGAGTTGTCCTCCTAGGGCATTGTCCATCCTGTCCTTTCCAGGAAGGTGGACAGGTCACTAGGAGACATCTCCTTTCCATTGGCAGGTGTAGGCCAAAACTCGCCGACCACACACTCTCTTTGACAACCTTGAGGTGTCTCACGGTGGCCTCCATGAAGGTTTTGGAAGGTGCAGCGACATTACTGTCGTTGCGCGGCTCCTTCAACCTTCTTGGGGTTCATTTCATGGAGGTGCACAAGTGAGGGAGCTTATCTGCAGGGGCAGCCGGTTCCTTGCCTTCATGCAAGGCGGAGCTCTTGGCGCCCGCCGCAGGAAGTGCTCTCGCTGTTGGAGGTGGAGTAGAGGAGAAGGAGGGTGAACTTATAATTGCTGCCACTCTTGCCTCCTTCGCTTCCTTTCACCTTTTGGCCTCGGCGCTGCAAATGCGCTTACGAAGTGATCTGCTATGTCCTGCCTTATTTCAAGCGGTAGATTGGGGTTGACATTTCTGTTCATCCCCAGCCACCACCTTAGATTGAGATGAGCACGTCTGGCCAGCTTGGGGATTGGTTTCAGTTGGTTCTGCTTTTTTTATTT